TGCTGATCAACGATGATTACAATATCGGGTAACCCTGTCATATATTTAATCCCGCCCAGATATGTTTGCAAATGAGATAATTGTCTTTTCAACATAGCCGCATCTCTTTTCGGAAGACGGTCGAGCCCCCCTGTTTTTTGTTCGGTTCTCAAGTCTCTAAACTTATGAAGTCTTGTTTCTGTAGTGGACCAATTCGTTAACATACCACCGAGCCATTTTTTATTAACATAATGACACCGAGCCCTTATTGCAGCCCATGCTACTGAATCAGCTTCTTTATTTTTAGTGCCAACAATTAAGAATTGTTTTCCTCTGCTTGCTGCATCAAAAACCAAATCACAAGCTTCTGATAAAAAACGAGCAGTTCTAGTAAGATTTGTAATATGAATACCTTTACGTTTTGCAGAGATATAAGGTGCCATTTTAGGATTCCATTTCCTAGTACCATGGCCAAAATGAACTCCTGCTTCCATCATCTCTTCTAAATTAATGTTCCAATATCTTCTTGTCATTTCTCCCCACACTGCCTCCCCCTTTTGAAAAAAAAAAGAGAGAGGTACCCTGAAATAAATAATTGTTCCGATGGAACCTTCTTTTATACCATAGATTGGCGTAGATACACAGCCCAAGCCATTATTCTTTTCTATTTGTTATTTTTTTTGATTACTATTACCAAATCAAATGACTGGACCAACAGATCCTTTATAAAAGATAAAAGAAAGGGGTGAATCCGCTCTTAGAGATCATTAAATCCTAAAAAAATGATTGTTCTTGTGTATCATGTAAATTATTTGAAAGGCAAGAATCAAATAATTTTCTGTGGTAGAACAAAATATCTTTCATTTCCCCCTCTAATAGATTCTTTTTTTGGAGTTCAAAGGCAATGTTGTTAGGAATGTTGTTAGGTTCGCTTGAAGGTGTTTTGAAGCCGCTACCAACAGGTATCATCCCCCCCAGAACAACGTTTTCTTTCAGGCCTTTCAACCAATCGATACGGCCCAGGAGAGCTGCTTTTGCTAAAACTCTAGCAGTTTCTTGAAAACTAGCTTCGGATATGAAACTTTGAGTATTCATAGATGCTCTTGTTATTCCCAATAAGACGGCTTGGTAACAGATCGCTTCTTCCAAAGCGCGTCCCATTCGTTCCGCTCGCAACAATCCAATTAGTTCTCCGGGCGAAAAAACATTAGACATTTCATCTTCTGAAACCAAAACTTTTGATGTTATTTGACGTACAATAATTTCTATATGCCTATTATGTATCTGCACCCCCTGGGAGCGATAAACCTTTTGGACCTTATTAACCAAAGAGATACGACTTTGCACTATAGTTAGTTCAGCACCAATCAAGAATGCCCAAGGAATTCCAAGAATTCTTGTTATAGATTTGTTCCAACCCTCAATCCTCTTTTCGAGATTCATCGATATTGAATCAATCGAACGCACTTCTAACACCTGTTCCACTTTTGGAAGACCTTGCGTTATATCACCAGATCTTGATTTTTCATATATAAATGTAACTAATGTATCGCCTTCGTAAAGGATTTCCCCATAATGTCCATGAACAGTTGCTCCTGGAGTAGCCAAATAAGGCTTAGCTGATCGTATTACCACAGAGTCAACTTGAACAATTAGAACTTGACCCGATTTTAAATGCGGTCCTTTTTTTGCTATACATACATTTTCACAAAGAAACTGCCCAAGACTAACGATTGGAGATGTCTCTTCACAATAATTGTAATGGAGAAAATACCAATTCAAATGAAATGGATTCAAAATGATGTTACTGCATGAATAGGGATTATAAATTTGACCATTTTCATCCAGTAAATAATATTTAAGTATTTGAAAAATCTGTTTGAAATTGTCAAGTTGCAAATAGTTAGTTACCAAGATCTGATTATGGGTTATTAAATGGGAAAAGAAATCAAAATTATAAATTGGAAAACCTGTTCCTAACGGGCCCAACGAATTCCTAATTGGAATTAGGGGGTTCTTTTTGATTGATTCTTTTATCGCATTGGGAGATTTTACATCGTTGAATGGGCCTATTCGAAAACAATTGGATGATGACAAAATTATCAAAGATTGAGATTCCTTATTTCGATTCAACAACGTATGGATAGTTCCTTGATTTGGATTAAGGGATTCTTTAATCCTTGACTTGGAATAGGAATAAATGGAAGAAAATGGATTGACATTAGCGCGATCTGATCCATTCTCAGAGATCAATCCTGAACCCGACAGATCGTTCCTTTTTCCGGTATAAGAAATAGGTGACTTAGCTAAGTCGATTCTTAGAAAATATCTAAGCAAACCATTTGTCCTTATTTCAACAAAGGAAGCACAGGCCTTTTCGATTTTTTTGTCTTGGTCCCAATTCAACACTAAAGAAGTCCGAACTAACTGAATACTTGTGTCCCAAATTTCAAGAATTGGGTCGTAATAAAGGATATAATTGACAACTCGAAGTTGTAGATTATCACTTTCCTGCAAGAGATCCGGCGGGAAAAGTCTTCCTAAATTTATACCATCCGTTTTTTTATATGGGACTACAGGTTGAACCAAAACAAAATACTTTTTTTCATACCTGGAAAGTTTCATTCGTTGGATATAGAGCCAATTTTTCAATTTTTTGTATTCTTTGGAATTTGGTTTTCCCCCTCCTGGCGGTATCAATCGGAATGCCTTATTTGTCTTTCCAGGAAAATGGATATCTCCAGAAAAGATTATCAGTTTCATTTTTTCTGCTTTTTTCTTCACTCGGACCAATCCGCCTACCCGACTTCTTCTATTGAAAGTGATTTGTGTATCTGCCCCAATAATACTATTGTGCCGTACCATTATGGAAGAAGATTCGGACAAAATGTGGACTTCCACGGGAATAAAAAAAAATGGATTTACTTCCTTTTGGTATTTTGGCCAAAATACCTTGACTCCTCGATACTCAATCAAATTCTCTTCGTTGACGATTGAATTTAGTTCTCGAGTCTCATATTTAGTAAGTCCCGAGCTCTTTCTTATATATCGAGGATCATCGAAATAAGCAAGAATACTATTTCTACGGAGAATACCATTTCTGGGTATTTCCATTGAGATACCTGAAGAAGGTATTAGTTGGTTCTCGCCTTCTTGAATCGATTCGAGTGGGATGATGAATCTATTTCTTCGCCTCTTTGCCAATAAATCAGAATTACCGTCGAGAATGGCCGGATATCTGAGATTACAATGATCCGTACATGTCATTCGATTCAGTTCTGAATAATCAGGAATCCTATCTCCTTTTTGATTTTTACCAGAAAAATACGAACTAAAAAATTTGTGTCTCACTTGATTATTAGTTACTGAGGGGTTAGCAATATATCTTGGCTTGACAGAAAGAGAATAAGCGTTCATTTGATCTTGATCCTTGTGGATCGAACAAGGGCCTAGACTGTATCTCCAGGGCTCCCCTAATAATATCCATAAATGACTTGTTTTTGGTAAGAGATGAATATTACCATATGTAAATTCAGGTGCATGGTACACATCAGTATTCCAGTGCATTTCGCCTTCTGAGTCAGAATAAATATGTTTTCGAACCTTCTCTTTCAAATTCAAAGTGGAGGTTCTCGCGCGAATCTCAGCAATCACTTGTTCTGATTCTACATATTGATCGTTTTGAACTAAAAGAAAACTTTTGGGCGGAATACACACATTGTGTATAATATCTTCACTCTCAATAGTTACATACAAGTCTCTAGAACATAGAAAAGCAGGATGTCCATGACGTGTACGTGTCGGATGAACCAAATCCTCGTTGAATTTTATTTTTCCATTAGAAGGGGCTCGCACATGTTCTGCAGTACCCCCTGTAAATACTCCGCCGGTATGAAAAGTTCTTAATGTTAATTGAGTGCCCGGTTCTCCAATAGATTGACCTGCAATAATACCTACGGCTTCTCCCAATTCGACCAGGTCGTCATGAGCTGGACTCCGGCCATAACATAATTGACAAATCCAAGATGTACTCCTACAAGTAAAGGGGGTTCGAATAGAGATTGGGTGTGCTCTAAAAGTTATGAATCTACTGACAAGTCCAACCCCAATATCTTGATTTCTAGTAGCAATACATCGCGAACCTATATATATATCATCTGCTAATACACGGCCAATTAATGTTTGGATAAAAATCCTGTCCGTCATCATTCCATTTCGAGGACTTACAGAAATACCTCGAACGGTGCCACAATCTGTTCGACGTACAACAATGTGTTGAACTACTTCAACAAGTCTGCGCGTGAGATATCCTGCATCTGATGTTCGGATAGCGGTATCCACAACCCCTTTACGGGCTCCGTAACAAGAAATAATGTATTCTGTTAACGACAGTCCTTCGCGTAAATTGCTTTGAATGGGTAAATCAATCATTTGCCCTTGAGGATCCGACATTAATCCTCTCATACCTACTAATTGATGTACCTGAGATGCATTTCCTCTGGCTCCCGAAAAAGACATTATATGGACTGGATTAAAAGGATCGGTCATCCGAAAATTAGGATTCATTTCTTGTCGCAAATATTCACTTGTGGCATACCATATTTCGATCGATTGACGTAATTTTTCTACCGCGTGTACATTCCCATAATGATGGTGTTTTTCCAAAATAAAACTTTGTTGTTCAGCGTCTTGAACTAGCCATCTTTTAGAAGGTATTGTTAAAAGATCATCAATTCCTAATGAAATGGATGCGGCGGTAGCTTGTCGGAAACCCAGAGTCTTTACTTGATCTAAGATATGTGATGTATATCCTATTCCATAGTGATCAATAAATCGACTAATAAGTCGTTTCATGGCAGTTCCGTCTATCACTTTATTGTGAAAGACCTGAGTGGGCCGTTCTGCCATCAGTACCTCCATATTGCGCTGAGTAGAATTTTACAATGGGCTTGAGTCAGTGATTGGAAAACTTCCTTTTCTAGATCTTGATTCACGTATAAATTCTGCACTTATGGTCCTAGTTAACCCGGAGAGACTCGAATTCCCGTTGGTAGCATAGAATTACAACAGCCCTGCCAAAACCCCTGTATGGCTTCTTCTATTTCTCGATAAAGGGAAATATGACCAAGAGTGGTTCGAATATATATATAAAGAATTTCTTTTTTTATACTTCGTACTATTAGATAGTGTCCATAAATCTCATAATAGGTCCCCACAGATTCATAGTGAATTTCGATGGGAACTTCTCTTGCAGTAATAACGCGTTGATCTAGTCGCCACCGCAGCCACAAAGGACTACCTAAATTGATTCGTTTTTGCCGATAAGCTCCAATTGCATCATAGGGATTACAAAAAAAGGGTTCTTTTTTTTTTGTATACTTATAGTTATTATCTTCATTTTGATAGTTTCTACGATTACATGGATTATACCTATTTACACAAATACCCCGACGATTTCCACTCGTTAAGACATAGAGTCCACTAAGCATATCTTGAGTTGGTGCCGAAATCGGATCCCCAATAGTTGGAGACAAAAGATTCATATGAGAAAACATAAGTAAACGCGCCTCTGCTTGAGCCTCCAAAGATAAAGGCACATGAACAGCCATTTGATCCCCGTCAAAGTCTGCATTGAAGCCCTTACAAACTAATGGATGTAAACAAATAGCGCGCCCTTCCACTAAAACGGGGAGGAATGCCTGTATGCCTAATCTATGCAGAGTAGGCGCTCTATTCAGCAATACAGGATGGTCATCCAGAATTTCCTGAAGTATTTCCCATACAATCGGTTTTTTTTTCCGAATTTGACTCTTAGCAACTCCTATGTTCGAAGCAAGATGTTTTCTAATTAGGTCACGAATTACAAATGCCTGGAAAAGTTCTATTGCTATTTCGCGAGGCAATCCACATCGATGTAATGAAAGTGAAGGGCCCACGACAATCACGGACCGCCCTGAATAATCGACCCGTTTACCAAGCAGAGTCTCGCGAACTCTTCCTTCTTTGCCTTCAATTACATCTGAAAGCGACTTGTAAACTCTATTATGATCATCCCTCATTGGTTGTCCGCAGATTCCATTATCAAGAAGTGCATCCACGGCTTCTTGTAGCAATTTTTCCTGAGATATTATTAATTCTTCTGGCGTAGCTATACTTGTTGTTAATAGATCTGTAAGAGTATTATTCCGATAGATAATTCTTCTATAGATTTCATTAATATCCGAGGTCACTAGTTTATCCTCATCTATATGATAGATTGGTCTCAACTCAGGAGGAAGAACTGGTAATAGACGCAAAACCATCCATTTTGGTTCTATATTTGTTCGAATAAAATGCTTAGCCAATTCCATGCGTCTAAGCAAAAAATCTTTTCTTCTTCCAACTTTTCGATCTTCCCATTCGTTCCCTGTGGGTTCCTCTTCCTCCAATTCTTTCCATTCTACCAATGAATAGTCTATAATAATTCGTAAATCTAGATTGGCTAATTGTTGTCTAATAGAACCTCCCCCAGTAGACATCTCTCGATTTCGAAATGTATCGAAGCTCCGGGTAGTAAAAAAAATGGGGATCCTGTATTTCCAGGGTTGAATTTCATATTCTAATAAACCCCGTAATCGTAAAAAAGTAGGTTTTTTATCTATGGGCCTAGCAAAATAAAAATTGGGATAGGATCTCCCCCCCCTCAAAATCGGACGTGAAAGTTTCCTTTCATCCGGCTCAAGTAGGTATACCAAAAAAAGAAAAAGAAAGGAGTTCTTGCTTTCAAATTCTAGAAAACTCCAAAAAGATCTACTCCTTACTCAAGTTTCCAGTGAAGACCAAGCAAAACTTCATGGATTCCGTCTTCCTTAATTATTTTTATTTAGATTTTATGAATTCTTTATTCAATTATGACATAAATGAAATGTGAAATTCTTGAGTAGTCTACTTCCCCTCGAATGATGAATCCCGTAATTCTTAATGAAAGAGAGTACCTTAGAATTCAGAAGGAATTTACTTGTCTATTGTACTGTTCCATTTGATCTTTTAGGTCCCGACTTCACCTCGACGGTTAGGCCACGATGCCCTTAAAGTCTATATGCGATAGATAGACTCTTGTAACCATGACATCTTTTCTATTTGCTTACTTAAACATAATTTGTTTCTAAAAAAGGAACTGCTTAATTCCACAAAAGAAAAAGTCTTTTTTTTTTACGAGGTCTAACTATAAATTCTTATGAAATCGACCATAGATCAATTCCCTTTTTGGGGAGCGTCTTGAATACATCCCTAATTCTGAGCTTCATGTTACTCCTACCAAGAAACATGTCAGGTACAGGGCATCCCGATTGGATTAAATGGGATGACAGTTTCTCATTTCGAATCTGTAAAATCAGAATTTCGATCAAATCACACACCGCAGTATACTAGGTCTTCTAATTCGTTAAGAGGTTTATCTAAAAGAGTCACAATATAACTAGGAAGACGTTTCAAATACCACACATGCATTACCGGGTATGCGAGTTTGATGTAGCCCATTTG